ACATTCAAACACAGATAATAAAAATGTATTACGTAAAAATTGGTTAGTTCAGATTGTAATTACAAAATTAATCATGTTATATTATAATGGGCCTTGAAGATGATGTCATATATAAATCCAATATAAACAAATCTTAGTCTGGGTCATAATTCTATTAGCAGAGCAAGAATCAAAGATTCCAAGTTACATATACTACTGATATCATACATGTCTTGAATGAATCGATCAATCATCATAAAATAATACCTATGTTGAACTTATCATGTTTTTGCTCAAACTTTCTAGCATATTCTCAGTAGCATATATGTTGTTCTGCAATACTTGGCCTATATATCGAAGTTGCTATAGAAGTTTTTATAATATAAGAAATGATATATTAGCTTTGCTACTTCTACTAATAAAATAAAATAAATTTGTTAATGATCAATGATGTGATTTTACCTCTAAATATAATTGGGCTGGCAAAATTAAATTTGACATCTAACCAAAATCGAGTAATATTACACAAGTCAGGTTCTAGATATCATGTATATTAATCAGGATCATAATATGATAGTTATTATTATAATTGTAATAATTCATCATATCTATTATATTTTTTTATATAAAATGAAAAACACTTACATTGATTTAAGTTATTCAGACTGTATATTATTATGTCTTTAGATCCAGATCTTCATTCTCAAAATCAGAATTTACTCCCATATTGTGATAATAATGTAATTAATATTTTTTTCAATACGTTCTGGCCTTTATCAACAAAGGGATCAAATTAGATTTATTGCAAAGCAATGTTACTTACATGTCTAGGTTGTGAAATCTTATATAAAAGGGATCTAAAAATCTTTAGTTAATCCTTCTACACTCTTATTAGTAATATCTGTAAAAATAAAAATAAAATATTTAATAAACTTTTGCATCTTGTACTTTAACTTACTAAGATAATAAAAATAATTTTTAGGCATAATAGCTCTGCTAAGAACAAAAAAATAAGCCTCATTTATTTCATCTGTTTTATACAAATTAAGGTTGATTTCGAGTTGCATGCTAGGTTACTTCACACTCGTATATCTATACTAATGATTTTTTTCTGTTAATAGATATCTTCAATTAATATTTCAGAAATTACACTATTTTTGGCCTTTGTGTATCTATTGATGTTCACTGAGAAAATTTCTATCCATCTAATTTTCATTGCTATGCTTCACTATATATGTTGTCAAACAACAACTTACTGCGGAATTCAATACACATGTAAAAAGATTAATTGCAGATCTTACAACACAGGATACTACATTTGTTGTCGAGAGATAAAGAATTCTGATAAAAGTAAATACAATAATTAAAACTATTAATAAAATTACCACCAATTATGAATCTCTTTGTGACCAGTTAGACCAAATAACTGAGATGAGTTTTGTGGCACTATTAATGTCTGAACAATTTGCTGGTCTATATATACCTATATCTAATTTTTCCTAAAGATTTTCTGATTCTTCTTCCGGATCTTCTCTGAGTTCTTCTAGTGGCTCAAGCTAATTATTTTTTTCTAATATTACCTTAACAACTGAAGGTAAAAACATTCTGAGTATGCTCTGAATTGTAGATCATTACACAAATAATTCAATTGATTCAGAATTTTTTATATGTTTTACAGTACTTTATTCAGAAGCTCAGATAGATTATCTCTTTTGTAAACCTAGCCAAGCATACTAAGTGAACTTGAAGTTTTCATATTAGACTATAATAATACTAGCTTAATTATTCTAAATCATTCGATCTTCATATTAAAATTTATCTACCAAACTTATAAGTAAATTACAATTACTACGTTGACTAAATCTTTTTTGTTAAACAAAAAAATGTAAAAAAAGCTTAAAATAATGATCAATAATGTTTGTATAGGAAGAAGAAATTAGGTTGTATATATTTTTATTATACGTGTTGCATAAAAATCCTTTAGAAATTAAAAGTATATAAATAATGTTAATTAACTATACAATTTATTAATAATATTACTATAGGTGCTTTATAACACGATAAGAAGTTTATATCTAAGATGTATTAAAATCGCAAAGGTTTTTCATTAGAATGATAGTTGTATAAGATAGCATAATATAAGATAATTAGGAATTTGAGTAGATATAAAATTAGATGTAAGATTAAATATAGGATTAGATGTAGAATTAGACGTATAATTAAATATATATATATATTATTAAGATTTTGTAAATAAATAAAAATAAATGCTATGAAAAATCAATAATCCTGACTTAATTTAATAAATACATGCTTGTTTACCTAACATTAATGTTTAGCAGCAATTATTTTGAACTTTAGCTATAAATTTTAATTAAAATTCGATTCTTTTCATTTATAAAATTTTAAGATTTGATTGGCTAATCAACATGTGATATTTTTCATATGATAAAAATTTACAATTTTGATTAGCTAAACTAATATGCATGATTAGACCGTCATTTCCTTATTTGAAATATTTCTACCTCAACTCAACAACTAGAAAATACTTTAAAGTTCTTTTTGATAAGATTATGGCAGACAATAATTATTCTTTAGATGATATATGTAATATGGTATCTGTTGAGATTCATAGTCTTGGGATAGAAAGGATTAGTAAGAAAACTATAAAAAATTTTTATTATAATAATGGTGATTTTAGAGGTAGTACTTTAAATAAAATAGGTGTTTGGATAGATAGTAAAAATAATAACTTAGTTAATAATAGGGAGTAGTAGGAAGGAACTCTCATTTTATGGGTTAGAGCTCGAGATGCTTCTTCCCTTTAAACTCGCTACTTTATCATTTATTAATTTATTTTGAAAAATAATAAATTTTCATTCTCATTGGACTTTAAAATTGTATTTATTAATCATATATAATTACCGTATATTACCGAATAGAAGCTACCAAAATTTTAAGAGTTTTTTCGGACTAAAAAGAGGGAGTAGCTTCTATTTGGGTCTAATTTTATTATTAAAACATAATAACTTTCTCCAAATTTTTAATCCAAAATCGAGGGAGTAGCTTTTATTCGGGTGTAGCTTTTATTCGGGGGTAGCTTCTATTCGGTAATATACGGTATCAAAAAAAAAATGTAATAGCGGTCTTATAGTTTTTTTTTAAAAAGCCTAATCTTCATATTTTGATTTGTTCGACTATGTCATTATAGAAATGTGGACGTGTTACAAGTGATGGTGTATAAATTTCTTTTAAATTTTCTCTTTTAACAATAATTATGTTTTTATTATTTTTTATTTCATTATCAAGAGGTTCTACGTCTCTCCAGGCTATGAAAACCAAGTAAACATTATCAATGGTCATTTTAAGTTTACCTATGGCAGATCTATCATAAAATTTTCCTTCTTCCCAGTTTATAGGAGAATTTCTAATTTTCTGCCATTCATATCTTACATGGTTATAATATATATTTTTTGTATGTTCATATTTTTTCTTAATTTCATTATTTGAGAGTTTGATTATTCTGCCTGGATAAGAAAACTTGTATTCAATATTGATAGCAATATAACCGGTATCTTCAACTTTTCATTCAAATATTACTATATCAAAGCTACTATTGTTCATTTTTATAGGAACCAATACATAATTTACGAAATTTTTAATAGATATCTTTTCTGTATCACATATTTCATCTGGTGAAGGAAACTCTAAGCTATTTAATCTTGCGATGCGTATCTTCTGTCTTATCTTAATTTTTGGCTGGTCTATGTTTAGCAAACCGTAAATCTTGTAAAGATTCACTTCCTTTTCATCATCACGAAGTGCACAGTAAAGCAACTCCCAATTAGCATGAAATCTTTCAAATGGCTTCTCATCCATTACTTTGTTATCAAAAAAGTACTCTGTAGTCAATAGGTCTCGTAATATTTTAGCAACAGTTTTTGCATTATCGTTTACATCATTTTTGCTAAACATGCAAAAATATTGAAGGCTAACTGGTAATAAAGTTGGGATGATATTGAAAGTTTCATTATTATCAGTAAGTGAATTAATATAAATTCTGGAGAAAATGAGATCTCTCAAAGTTGATGTTCCCAAAGTAGTTTTTATTTCACATATCAAGAATATTATTTTTCCTAATAGCGCCATCTTAACTATAGAAAAAGAGATTCTACCAAATAGTGAGTCAAGATTTTTTGCCAAATATTCAATAAGAGAACTATAAACATTAGTATTCAAGGCTATATTATCATGTAAAAGTTGATAAAATTTCTCGAGAATTCTCGGATGGCCATTACAATCTGCAATACATTTTTTAATGATGAATAATCTACGGTCATTTAAACTTTTTGTGATTTCATGAAATAATTCTACTGACTCAGAAAGAGCAAGTCTTCTTAATGGTATCCAATTAATGGGTCTTTGCGAGTCAGTTTAAGTCTTCCACATATTAATTGCATCAAGTGTAGACACAACAAAATAGAATTTGCTTTCTGAGGCTGACAAGGCATGATAAGGTTTGTAGAGTTCATATAGTAGTGTTTTAATACTTTCAAGATTTGTGTTGTTATCTGATAAAACTCTCATAGTCTCATCAACACATAAAAGTACTGATTTTTTTTTGAATGATATATGATGCTTTCAACGGCTGTTGAAGTATTCAATGAATCGAAATGATTTCTAAATTTTTTGCAAAAAGCATTCCAGCCTAACTTATTCTCATCGAAAAAGTAACTCCACAAGATGCGCATGACTAATCTCCTTCGAAGATCTTCATCTATATCATATCCATATGGTGAACCTCCATTATATGTGATACAAATTCCAACAGAGTTATGCAATAAATCTACAATATCCTTAGTATACTGTTGCCTTTTGCCACTTCCTTGCTCCTTTTCCAAATCAAAAAGTTTTATTTTTAAATAACGATCAAGATCTTCACTTTTCAAAGAGGTCAACTCGTCAAGAAAGAAAGATTTTCCTTCTCCAGATGTAGATTGAAGTGCGGGAAGAGGATATAATTTTTTATCAAAAATACTTCTATTTTCACTCAATTGTTTTCTAATTTTACAATAATAGTCAAAAATATAATTGTATATTTAAAGTATTGTATCATCTCTACCCTTCCTTTTGAATTTAAATTCATTTATACACAGCTCATGAGGTTTTGCAAAATCATTCTTGATTCCTTCTTGTTTTTCAAGAAATTCTGCTATGTATTTAGGACTAAGATCTTTCAGATTTGTATGAAAATAACAAGTATTAGTACAATACATTAATATCTATAACCAGAAGATGCTGTGATATTTATCATAAACCACAACAATTCATGCAATGCAATAGATATGCACCTATTAATTTCTTTTTTTTCTGTCTGAACCTTCATTTTCCTTGTCTGAACTTTCTGATTTTCTTTTTTCTAATCAAGTAAAAAAAAAAGAGATAACTACAAATTTCTTGTTCGAGAGGTAAAACATTGGGAAACGCTTACCGATAATGGGTGGTTATATTATGATTTGGATGTCATTAGTTAACTTGCGAAAACATTGTTTTATAGTATTAGATGGGAGCAACATCATGCCTCCAAGTTCTTGTTCTATATTAATATCAGCTCATATTTTCGTTTTTAGGTTTTCTCTGCTAATAGGAATACCATCAACTTTCCAAAGCATAATGTCATTGGCATCAATATTTCCAAAGGCATTTTTTTTCTCTTCCTTTATTAGCTTCTTGAGATGTGATATGGTCTGGTCTTCTTTGATATCAACCATGAAAGCACTTCTGACTGCGTCACCTAAAACGAGACAAAATATCATAACTTCGGTGATATAGGGCATGGTTATTTAGTTGTGTTGTATATATAAAAAAGTATATCTATGAATATTTCAAAAATGGTAAAGGTTAATTCTAATAGTACAAAACATATATCGATATGTAGAAAAAAAATTCTCGGTCTGGTTTATATGTATACATGGGACAATTGCACAATTTTTCGGTCATACATTGATCTGTAGGAAAATCAATGTATTATATGAACGTATAAACAAAATAAGACAAGTTTTAGAATCAGATTACATATTTGTTTTTTTCTAACTTTGCTAGTCAATAAGTTCCAACTCCTTAAGATACTCTGGAATAACTATATGTGGCTCTTCATAATACCATAACTCAATAAGAACAATCCAATTCTTATTACAGAGTTCTCTTTTGAGCTGATCATGCATTAATTGCCTTTCAAAGTCTTCTCCATTTTTGTGGAAATGTTTTACATATTGCTCATGTTGTTTACCTTGTACCTCCACGGCAAATCCATACTGTGGATAGTAAATATCAAGCTCTAGTCCTCGAAGATATTCTTGTGTTTTCAAGAAATCTGGTCTGCGAATGCTAGAAGGTGGACCAATAATTTTTGTTACAATTTCACGACACATATTTTCATGTTTATTTAAGCAATATGGACATCATGATTTAGCATGTTTTATACCATTAAAGCTTGCAAACCACTTATGGCCCTTATTACAGATAGTGCAGCAAGCCAGCTTAGCCGATTCAGCCAGTTTAGCCGCAGCTGAGTCGCAGCAAATTTTCTACAAACAAGGGTTTTGCGAAGAATTTATGCTTAGGTGAATGTGAATTAAGCTGATTTCTAGAACTCCCCTAAGTTTAAAAGCATCACTATTTGTGCAATAGTTTATGAGATATTTAATGTTGAGTTACTTGGTTTGAATTATTGCGGATCAGCTACGGCTGATTGGTAGCAAATATTCCAACAAGTATTTTTTGTGGAAAATTTATACATAGGCAAATTAGGCTAGTTTATAGAAGCCTATTAGACCTAAAATAATCACTATTTGAGTAAAAAATAGTTCATGTGATATTTGAAGCCAGGTTATTGAGTTTAAATTACTGCGGATCAGCTGTGGCTGATCTATTGCGAGTATTCTAACAAGCGTTTTGTAGAGAATCTATGCTTAGATAATTAAGCTGATTTCTAGAACTCTCCTAAGTCTAAAAGCATCACTATTTGTATGATAGTTCATAAGATATTCGAAGTTGAGTTGTTTGGTTTGAATTACTGCGAATCAGCCATGGCTAGTGATGTGCTGCGTACAGTACTGTACATACTGTATGCGAAAATTTTTGGCAATCATTTTATATGTAGTCTGTTTTATGTTAATTAATTAGTAGCTGCATGATGTAGTCATGCTAAAACCAGGAACAAGAAGCTTTATTTGAGATTAGTAAATATGTTTAATTACAATATATTTAAAAAAATAATAAAAAGAAAATTTTCAATTATTGCTTTAAAATTTAGTATAATTATAGTATAAATCATTTCATGAAT